CTGATAGACTACTAAGACAATGTGAAATGGAGAGGTAGAGGGAAAGTCAATAGTACCGTAGTTAAGGTTCACTTCCATTTTTAGGCAACTTAGATTAACATCAATTCATAGTGCAGAAAACGTATTATTATTGACTGTTGTTCTTGGAATTGCCGATATGTTTATTTTAGTAAATACAATCAATTGCTAATAAAGCAGGGATTGAAGGCTTTATAAAGCTATATGCCTTGCCCTTGAAGCAAATGGTTCATACGATCATTTTCCTCTGTGGAAGTATTGTGCTACAGTTTCGGTAAAAAAGCATTTATGTTTTTTTAAAATAATACATTAAATATCATAAAGAGCAAAGTGGGAAAGCTTAACAGCAGTCATATTTTGTAGAGATAAGCGTTTTAATCTTTGAGCCTTTGGCCGGAATTACTGCTCTAATTGCACTTCGTCAAAAATGCAATGAAAATACACAAAAACCTGAATGAAGTGCATCACTTCAGGAAAGATCTTGGCTAAGGTCTAGTCGTTCAGCTGTGAAAGCGAATTGGAATAATTGATAGGGTGGGTCGAGACGAGTATGAAGAGTAATGCGTAATTGCAGGCGTATTTCAATGAGCGTATTCGTATGGGCAAACACACTACGACTGCTGCAAGATAACGAACTGCTTGAGGGAAAGCGAAACGATGTTCGTAATGCCTAGCTAAATCCCAAGAGGGAGGTAGACTCAACCTCAGAATCTATCCACGCTCATAATTTGAGCAGGAGTTAAAACGGCTAGTGTGAGGCAGTTCCCAAGAGAGCCTTGTGTTTTCAAGACTTGATTGTGTTTTAGTGACGTCCTTCCCTGCAGATTTATGTCTTTTACCCAATAATGCCATTGTAAAGAAAACCAATTAGGTCTCTTAAAAGCCACGGCCACTTGGATATTAAGCTACAAAGTAGAGAGTTCTTCCTCTTTGCTCAGAGATTCCTAGTCCGACTGCTATGCTTCTGACAACAAATAACGCCAGCAACTGAGCCTTTAGTTACTCTAATGTACGATTTTGTTTTGTCAATAAGGCTCAACCTAGCCAATTATCAAACCTTGGCAAAGGCGGCAGGGATACTGCCTTTAAACCCGGCTGCAGTCCACCTTGATTGGCCAGATGAGATTGGAATACGCGAGCTTGCTGATGCCCTAATTCGTTCTTCGTCGTCATTTTTTCTGTGGCAAAGATATAAAAAATGGCGATCCAAAATTTATTTTAAGTTAACGATGCTCACATCATGTAATCAACAAGATTAGATGCTGGAGTTATTTTAGGTGCATTTAGAGTTCCTAAAAAGACCTAGTTTTTCGACACCATAGCATAAAAAATCCTCCATTGCCCTTTAGTGTAAATTTTACCCATGATACTAGATACCCTAGTCATATTTTCACAGTATTGCTAACCAAGCTTCCAAAGCATTTTTTTAAAGAAAATTGTAGGAATGGCACTATTTCACGTTGATGCATTCTTCTTGCTTCCATCCTCTCAATACCATTTTCACGACATTTACGCATGTACATGGCATAGCGAAAGAAAAACGCACCTGTGACTTTGTTGATAGAGCGGATTTTCAAAGGAGTATAACACTTTTAGAAACCCACTAGCCCATAAACAAGATCGATAAAAGAAAGGAATTTCAGAAAAATGAACATGTCTAGAAATGTGGCAAGAAATCTTAGGTTAAATAGTTTATCATTTGCAAAATTTTTGTTGCAAAATTTCAGCAGTTCTTTCAAACTCAACAAGGACTTCCAAAAAAATTTATGGAATTTGAAAAGGCGTTTTCTACTACCCAACCACCTTTAAAAAGTATGAGCACTAACAGAAAAGTTACGCCTGTTGCAACTCATTTGAAGACTAACATTTCTAGCAAATGGAAAACAACCTAGATTTCTCGTCATCAATGGGGCCAGCACAACTCTTTAAAATTAGAATTACTTGGGCATTTTGATGTATCCCGAACAGCTGCATTTTCTGTCTTACAATAAGAGTTATATAGAATAGCATCAAAATGCACTAACTCAGCATGAAATCCTGCCACAGCCTGCCCAATCGTGAAGCCAATACGAAAAACGATAGGAAGTGGTACTGCCCTGGATGAAGATAGATTTGGGCCTATAAATACTTAGAGCAGAGTAAGACTTTGCAGCATATCTAATCGTAAAAATAGACCGGCCTTAAACGGGTTAATATCCGTTCTAAATTAAGCTACTTTAAAAGGTAATATTAACCCATTTTTTTGGAAAATACGTTATCATTATAGTTTTTGGTGGCACAGTACTCCAAGTGTGTAGTAACATATGTAGTATAGATATATACATACTATGTGAAGTTGGGGCAATCGGAAAAAATGCCTCAGGATTTTGCGGACAGCCGATATTATAATAAATCTCATCCTGAGTACCATCTCATTACGATAGAAGTGTTTCCTGTGTAGAACATATCTCCGCATTCATTCGCTTATTTTATTCATTTGCTATAAAGCTACATGCACTGACAAGACAAAATAAGCTCATTTCACATATGGTTTATGATGCATCGCTGCAGATTCGAAACTTTCTCAGTCAGTGGGAGGCTTAGAGTAAAATGACGGTGAAAGCTCAAGTTGTACAATTCCCGTTAGAAAGTGTCATAAAGCAAAATTTGCTAGAAGCACATCTTATCCGTATTCCATGGATAAGATGTGTTTTTAGCAAATTATGGACCCATAAAATCACGCGGAACGTTGCAAAGTATTGATAAACATAGATTTCCAAAAAGTAGTTTTCAGTTGCGGCGAGAACCTAAGTCATTGACTCATGCACTTGAAAATTTGAGTCGTTGCAGTTTGAATTTTGCAGTCTGGACAGATTGCGGAAGAGCTTTCCAGAGTATAGCTGAAACACTCGAAAAATTTTCGAATTTTCGATATTCAAATACTTCGAATATCGAATATCCAATAGTGTCTAATTCGAACATGAATATTTGGGCGTAACTATACTCCGGAAGGCAGAATGGAAATCTTCGTAAGCAAAGCAAAGGAGAAGTTGAACGGGAAGCGAAATTCTGGTAGTTTCAGTCTTCCCTAACACTTTCTTTGAAACCATGTTCAATAACCGCTTAAAAAATAAGCAGCATGTTAACAAACTTGCTCGAAGGCGTGCATGTTTAACTACGCGGTCAAATCAACAAATTGTAAATGGTTTACTCAAACTCTTTCTGACGAATAGCTGCTAAACAGTCACCTCTTGGGAGAGATATGCGCAAAAAAGTTTATGATTATTTGCAAAATCTTTAAAAACCTACGAAAATGAAAAACTGCAGTACCTTTTTGTGATTTCTTCAGAGGAGATATGCGAGACTACAGATCTTCTATTAGCAAACGCTTTTTTTCCTATGTGCAGTGCTTATACCAAACACTTCTTATGCACCCTTCAGCCTTATAACCAGAACAAAGTCTTTGCTCCCTTACCTGCAAAAGTCTCGAAACTTGTAACTTCAATGAAGAAAACGTGCCCAAGCTGAAGTGCTGCTGCACTTGTCCTTTTAAGGTCTTCCTACAGGTTACAAAAATTTTCTTATTATCCTGGATATGCAAAAGGATATTCGCTCTCTTCAGGTGCAACCGGAATCCTTGTGCCGAGGTCTACTTGGAAAGCTACTGCAGTTAGGATTCGTAATTATATTTACACATTAAGCAATGTTCATATATAAACCAACCAAAAATAACGTGCTCATAAGTTCATTGCTAGACGCCATGAAACTCAAAAGGTAGAAGAGTTGATCGGGGAGTAGTTTTCCCAAAAGTGCTAGTTATAAAAGTTCCAGCAGTTCCAAAACAACTAATATTGCAATAATCTCCAGCTACTTTATGCACTCGAATAGAATTTGTGTTCAAAGCGTTAGAACGTGACACATGGATTTCTTCGATCTTTGTAAATTATCCATCGTTCACTGCAGACCTGATTAATCTGTTTTTCAATCTATAAAGTTCAGATGCAATGCTGTTCTACCACTTGAACGCCTATAGCTAAAGTATGTAAGCAGGAGTCTGGTTACAACAATACTCAATTTAAATATTTCCAAATTAAGTTAAAAGAAAACGATTTGAAGTAATCCCCCC